CAAGCAAAATTATCCCAGTGCGACCCTACCTAGGATTTGGAGCCTCTAGGAAAGCAACATTACTAGGAGCGGTAAGCGCCGTCCTCCTCCTTCTTCTCATCGTCGTAGCAGTAGCAGTAGCAGTAGCAGTAGCGGTAGTAGTAGTAGTAGTAGTAGTAGTAGTAGTAGTAGTAGTAGTAGTAGTAGTAGTAATAGTAGCGCCAGAACCGCCAACACCACGCCGTAAGTGAAGCAGCAGCAGAAGCAGGCAGCAAGTCGCCGAGACAGCAGCAAAAGCAAGCAGGCACGGAGATGAGGACGGGGCACTGGGGAGTTCTTTACATCTACATCTATATCTACACCTACATCTACATCGACACCTACATCTACATCTAGACCTACACCTACATCTACACCTACACCTACAGCTACATCTACACCTGCATCTACACCTACATCTACATCAACAGCGAGACTCACATCTACATCTACATCTACACCTACATCTGCATCTACATCTACACCTACATCCACATCTACACCTACACCTACATCTAAACTTTCGCATTGGTTTTGCTTTTGCTTTGCATTGACTTTGCTTTTGCTCTTGCCTTTGCTTTTGCCTTTGCCTTTGCTTTTGCTTTTGCTGTTGCTTTTGCTTTGCTTTTGTTATTGCTCGGTTTTGCTTTTGCTTTGCCTGCGCACAGACACACACACACACACACGCATGTTTTTGCATTCGCTCACCGGGTGTGCTATGCTGCGCTATGCTATGCTATGCGCTGCTCTGCTCTGCTCTGCTCTGCTATGCTGCGCAATGCTATGCTGGGCTGGGCTAGGCTAGACTATGCTATGCTGCGCTATGCTATGCTGCGCTATGCTATGCTATGCTATGCTTTTGCTTTGCCTTCGCTTTTGCCTTCACTTTTGCCTTTGCTTTTGCTTTTGCTTTTGCTTGGCACCCAAGGAGCGCAACTGGGGGAACCGCGCGTTTGCTTTTACCTTTGCTGTTGCTTTTGCTTGGCTCCCAGGGGACTGGGGGAACCGCCCGGGGCGGTTTCCACCGCCCGGCCCCTTCAAGCCAAGCGAGTAAGAACCCTTCTAGGCAGAGCCTAGGTAGGGAATTACCTCGACCCATGGAACCACTAGACGACCCCAATCGTTGGAGACATCGCTCCGGAAACACATGGGGATGTACCAAGCGCAATTATACGCCACTAACCGAACAAATTCTGGCAACACGGAATGTTGAAGGTTTTGGAAGAGATTTCAACAAGCTACCTGGGCTATCTCATCACATGACTCGCCTCGGCATCGACATTCTTTGCATCCGAGAGACAAGCATCACAGACGTCGCACTTTGTGGACAGTGGTTTCGTAGTGGACATCAGAACACCATGATGGGCGCTTCTATTCTGGCATCGGCTTTGCAGTTGCAGCGCGTGCAACCGTAGCCGTGGTCAGTTTCAAACGTATTTGTGCCAGGCTCGCTGCGTTGAGGCTGAATGTGCGTGGCGGGATTCCTGCGGTCATGCGTTGTTACGCCCCGCACGCTGTACATAGTCTTGAAGATCGGCAATATTTTCTTGATTCTCTCACAGACGCATGGCGGCCCGCAAGCAAACACAACACGACAATCGCAATCGGTGACTTTAACTCGAAGCTCTTTGGCAAAGGGCCGGGGGAAGATGCATTGTTGGGTGATTTCGTCTTCAAGTCGAGGTGGCTGAAGAATCGGAAGAGAACGATCAGAGACTTGCTCATAGACGCATGCCGGGCTGCCGAGACGAAGGTCGCCAACAAATTCCTCGAACTGCCTGACGGCCAATTGATGACGTCTTACTCGCCGCAAGCGTAGAAGATGGATGCCATCGACGACGAGGGCTTTGCCCAAACCGATCACTGTTTGATGGATGCCAATACGATGTTTTGGATCCGGAGTCTGAGGTCGGACAGAACCATCCCGTGGGCGACCAGGCACTTCCTCCTGCAACTGCGCCTGGGGCTGTCTCTAGATACTTTTACACAGGCACCGCTGCGCAGCAGCAACGATAATTGTGACTGACGACGACTCCGTGCAAGAATATCCTTCTGAGAAGTGGGAACACGGGTGCCTCTTCTGCAGTGGACCAACACGACGACAAACCATGGTGTCTGCATCAGGGGAGCTGGTTACCAACCTGGCCAGGAAGCTCCAAAAATCATGGATACGCCAAAATTCACGCCCGATCTACTCATGGAGCGAGATCAAGTCAGAGCCAGTGAGACTCCAAACAAGGTGACAGACCTTATGAAGCACATCAGGGCATCTGTGAAGGAAGACGAGCAACGATGGCTGGATGAGAAACCTGCTGGAGCTTCCTGGGCAGCCGTGCGTGGTTCTTGACAGGGCCCGCTAAAAAACCTGTTCAGATACGCGACGCTGCAGGACACCTGGTGGAGAACAGTGCGCGCGCAGACACGATGGCGGACTAGTTCGAATTCTTGCAATGTAGCGTAACTCACCGAGAACTCGAGCCGACTGGGGCCTAGGAGATGGGCGCCATGTTGCTGGTCAACACGAGCCCGTTCGACATGGGTGAACTCATGGCGGCCTTGAAATCCACCACCGTGGGGAAAACACATGGGCTTGACGGAATCCATCCAGACTTATGGAAGATCTTGCGTGGATCGCAAGAACCCCTAGACGACTTATTGCCATTGTGCCAGAGGTGGTGGGAAGAGAAAAAAATACCGGACGAATGGCGCACCGCACGGGTGGCGCTGCTTCTCAAGAAGAGGAGGGACAGCAGCAACCCGGAGAACAATCGGCCGATATCTCTTTTCTTCGCATTGGCTGTACGATTATAGGGTGGATGTTACAACGACGGCTTCAACGAGGCGGCGCAGAGGGCAGACTGAGACAGGCGCAATTCGGTTCTAGACCGAAAAACAACAAAAAACAAGATGCAACCGATATCGATTGCCATGCGGAAGTACGAAACACGACGTGCGTCGAAGTCGCCCAGGCTCGTGGCGGTCTTCTTGGACTGGGCGAAAGCGTTCGACAGGATCAAGCACAATGCTTTGCTGCAAAATTGCGGAGATTCGGAATACCCGACCGCATAGTGGACATGACTGCTGGCACCCACCCAAAACGGAATTTCATCCTTCAAGACCTGGCCACCTGGCCAAGGACTCGAGCGTGCGCAGCCACCGAGCCGGCGTCGTGCAACATTGCCCGTTGTCGCCATATCTGTTCATCATAATCAAAGCCATAATGTTTTCGACATCGACGCGTTAATGGTGGGCGAGCACCCGACAATGCAGGAGCTGGGCTTCCATCCGCGCGCAGACTTGTTACACGCGGACGACGCGATGCTCACCGGCAGCTTCGCGGTCAACCTCCGGACCCTCCTCGATGCGGTCATCGCTGAAGGTAAATGGTACGGGCTAAAGCTTAACTGGAAAACGACAATCCTCATGAGGATTCGCAATGCTGGTTCCATCCGATACCCGCGCGGGGAGCCGCTGATGGAGGTTGAACAAACAGTATACTTGTGTGGCCTTCGTCACACCAAGTGCAGTGCAAAGTCTGAAGTCACGCGAAGACTAAGGGAAACTAGAGGGATCTTCGAATCCCTTGAAAGTTGTTGGTCACGCGCGAACATCACCCAATCGAGGAAGCTCATACTGTATCGATCAATCGTGGTAACGAAGCAGTTGTATAATTTGGAATTCGTTTGGGCGCTCAAAGCCGACAAGAACATATTGAATGCGTTACGCGTGCAATGCCTCCGGAAGATCTGCCACGCCCCATGCGCACACGTCTCAAGAGTGTCGAACCGCAGCGTGCTGGAGCAGACGGGGGGACATGATCTGAACGAAAACCTTCTCGAGCGCCAGAAGAAACTCTGCAATTCCATGGTTGCGCCTTCAAAGAATCACCCAGTCCGTAAACTGAGGTTCAATCCCGATTCTGAGGCGCCCCGAGCTTGGCGATGTGAGCTGCACGCGTGGGAGATTTTTTTATGTGCCCGGACAAAACTCCTGGGCGACACAACCCGAAGGGAGGTGCCCAAGGTGCCTGCATGAATTCACATGCAGTCGGGCCTCGCAACATGAACGGCGGCTCAGACTCGCCCCAGGCGTCACATCTGCGCCGCCGTTGCGAAATGCCTCGAAATGCCACCCCGGGACATGGCCACCGGCACCACCCCCACTTGGCCGCCGGCCTCATGCAGCGGAGACCCCGCCGCCCAAGGACTTCAGTTCCCGCGACCCCACGTCGGGGGACCCCTTCGAGTAACCCCATCGGGCCTCTCAGGGGTGGTACGGCGGGCCCGCACCTACTGTGGCTGGCCAGCCACAGGGCAAGAGTCTCTCCCACAGCCCCGTCGAGCTGGGGCGATGATCGGGCTGCCAACCCGCCTGTCTTCCTGGGGCGCCACGAGGGCACCCAGCGGCACAGGTGCCAGCCCACGCGCAGGAGGCCCAAACAACACTGGGTACCCTGCGTCCATTCTGCCCTGAACGATGGCAGGCCCTGCGTATGCTGATTTGGCTCGATGTCCCTTGCTCCCTCTCCCCTCCCACGCCTCTCTCCTGGCCTCCCGTGTCTTCCCCCTCGCTTTCTCTGGCTCCGTCCTTCTCCCCCCTCGTCGTCGTCGCCGTCGTTGTCGTTGTCGTCGTCGTATGTGGCCACGCCGCGTGGGAAACTCAACGGCCAATTTCGCAGCCCGCAACGCAACAACCGTCACGGATGTATCATCGTTTCTCTGCCTAAACTCCCGCAGTCTCAAAACAATACAACTGGCAATTGTTCCATGGCCCCTCCTCTCCCTCTCCCCTCCCCTGCCTCTCTTCCGGCCTCCCGTGTTGTCTCCCTCGCTTTCTCTCGCTCCGTCCTCCCCCTTTCGTCCTTGTCGTCGTTAACTTGTGGCCACGCCGCGTGGGAAAACTCAGCGGCCAATCGGACAATTACGCAATACGCATACGGACCCCAACATCCGCCACAAGAAGATCGTCGTTTCCTGCCTGACCTCCCGCGGTCTCAAAGCAGCACTCACTGCCGGCAGAGAGTCGCAGCCGATCGATGTTTCCACCATCCTGCCAGTGCACATCTGCACGGCATCATTTCTGCCGGTGCGCCGCCGAGGCGCCTGGCTCCGTACCTCACCTATGCTTCTTTGACCGACGAAATCGCCCAGGCCTCGCACCCGGCAGCAAAACACGTGGTGAACGTGTTAGAATCAACTCCTGGGAAGTCGTCGTAAGAAAACGCGATTCAACCTGTATACAAAGCCATTGAGCTGGATAATGCCGGAAGAAAGCCCAATCTCAAACTCGATGAGACTGAATTGCTCCGGATATTTTTTTTTCGACCACGGATATACCAGCGCCGATACTGAACTAAACCTCCCAGGAGTTGCACCCTGCAACGTGCAGGCAAACGCTGCGCAGTGGTCACTTGCAGTTCCTCTCCCCTTCGCTCCTGGCGCTCGTCCTCGAACTCCTCCGTGTCGCTCATCAGCTCGGCGTCTAGCTCGTACTGGTCCCTGGTGCCGTTCGGGTGCTTCGAGACGAGCGTGCGGCGCGCTCTGCTCCAGAAGGGGTGGTCGGCTGTCGCGCGCAGGGTCGACGACGGCAAGGATATCTCCACCAGCTCGTCCCTCTGGCGGGAGGGGCGCCAAGAGGAGGACGAGAGGAGGAACATATACCGATACTGCTATCCTTTCCTCGTTTTCTCCTTTGTGGGCCTCGGGAAGTCCTAGTCGCCACGGCTGGATTCGCCTCGAAATCCCACCAGCCCTCTGGGCGTGAGTGGTCTAAGGAGCTCGTTCTTCTAACCCCCTTCCCCTTGGTTTTCAGGGGGCGTTTCGCGAGGGGTTGGTGGCACAAGATGGCTTGAAGAAGGCCCCAAATAGCCTCCAAGATCGCTCCAGATAGCCCAAGATGGTTCAATACAGCTTCCAACATGCCTCCAAGAGTCTTCAAGACTACCCCAGGACGGCTCCAAGTGCCCTCCGAGCCTCCCAAAGAGACCCCCCAGAGGCCAACATCCTTCCAACACCTGAACGAACGAACGCCGGATCCGTGCGCGCGCCGCGCGGGCGCCCGCACGTGCCCGTTTGGGCGTGGAGGTGGAGGCCGTAGCCTCGTAGCCTTCCAACACCTGAAGAGAATCAATGATCTTTGCTTTCTCGCTCGATGGTCCTAATATGGCCCGAAGGGCCCCCAAAAAGGGCCCAAAAGCGCCCGACCGCCCCGAAAGCGGTCCAAAATGTTCCCAAAATGCTATTTTGAGGGCCCCGACGGGGGTGCGTACTTCGGACCCCCCCTTGACCGATAGCTTCCAAGATGGTCCATAAGAGGAGAGGGCCTCCAAGTCTCCCGAGAGAGGCCCAAGAGACCCTCAGGAGGGTTTCGAGAGGGGCCCAGGGGACCCCAAGAGCGTTCCATGAACGCGACAAAGGGTTTCCAAAATGGCCCCAAGATGGCTCCAACATGATCCCCAGAGGCATACTTGCCAGAGGCACCTAGAGCCAAAACGCTCAAAAAGGCAACTCGCCTGTTGACTGTTTTGGGTGGGGATGCGCTTTCTTGTCGCAGCCGCAAGCGAAAACGCAGGCGGCGTGAAACGGAACGGGCGGGCCGCGCGCGAACCGAATTGCCTAACGCGCCAGCAAACAGAGGCCTAGGCGGCTCCTCAGATCGCCCCAAGCGGGAGGTGGCGCGGGCTGCAGCTGCCAGGAACCAGGTCCAGGAGCGAGCGCGTGCAAATTCGCCAACCGATGTTGGGGCGCAGCCAAAACGGCGCGGGAGCGATGCCAGGATGAAGCCAGGAGCGCCATCACGAAGGACCGCATACACCAGCCAGGCCAGGAAGAACTCACAGACCAGGAACCTGGTGCATGGAAGTGGCGCCACCAAAATCGCGCACAACGCTGACAAGTGGTCGTAGAGGGTGAGGATAAGACGTGGGATAAATTATACGAGACACCCATGAGCCCAGCCCCTGAGGGGGGCAGCTCGCGTGTCATACATTCCAGGAGGTAATGCTGTCACCGATGGCCAGGATGGCGTCGCTGACCAGGAGCCAGCGCGAGTGGCGCCACCGAGGTCGCACGCTCGCTCCTGAGGAGACCACGTGCACTCCCGAACAAGGTCGCCGACGTATCAGGAGAACTGACCAGGAACTGGGCAGGGACACGCCTCAAACACGAGGACGGGTGAACACGAATGCCGTGGACACCGCCGCCAATAAACCGTGGATGTAGTCAACGCAGTCGGCCGACGGCCAGGAAAGCACAGGTTGAACCACGTGCACTCGGGGGCTCCATGCGTCAACCAGGAAGTTGAGCATGTGGAGCAGAGCCCGGCTGCCTGAGGAGGGGGCGGCCAGGGCGGAGCGTGGCAGTGCCGTCATCGCGTGGGGGTCGGGGTAGCTCGGAGCGGGGCAACTGCCGAAGGCGCGGGGAGTAGAAGGCGCCGAGGGCGGTGAAAAACATCTACAGCGAGGCCATGGGCCAACTGGGACAGGTGGACCGCGGCCCCAGCGGCAGTCCACGCGTCGGTATTGTCAGCAGGTCGCTGCAAGGGGCCCGAAGGCGGGGGGCAGCGGGTGCTGGGCAGAAAGTGCTACCAGGAAGTGGCTGAAGGCCAGTGGGTTGCCGAGTGCAGATGGAGCGCCACCATGTGTGGGAACGCATGTCGCCTCACCCGTCGCAAGCCCCTTGTCTGCGGCGGGGTCCGTCCTCCAAGCGGGGAAGGCGTGGCGCCCCCCTTCTGAGTGGCCCACTGTTGGTCGGCATACCGGGGTGCCAGGAAGCAGCTGAAGGTTGCAGTTTATGCAAAGAAACCACAGCGACCTGAGCGCGCATGCGCGGCGGGCTGCGACAAGGGTGAAGCAAGGGCGGGCGCGCCCGCAGTGCTGGAGCTGACGGCCTTCCACTGCCTCTTGCCCTTCCTGGGAGCGCGGCTGCCAACGTGGCTCTTCGCCACCTGGCGTCCCTTGCCCGCGCCGTCACTGCGACTCAGGTATCGCGGCCAGGAAGGCGGCCGAAGGCCGCGTGCTCCGGGGTGACACAGGAGGAGAGGAGAGAAGCAGAAAGTGCTACCAGGAAGTGGCTGAAGGCCACTGGTTGTCTGGGGAAAGATGGATCACCGCCATGTGCGGGAGCGCTTATCACCTCTCCCGTCGCCGCTGTGGTCGCCGCCACGCTTGCCTCCTGTCTGCCAGTCGCTGGAGTCCCAGGAGTGTGTCCAGGACCGGTTCTCCCAGTCCCAGGACTGCTGTGGGCTGGGCGCGCGGCCCTTTGGCTGGTGGCCGCCCTTGCCTTGACGCCCCATCCATTTGTCGCGCTCCTCGGCCCAGTCGACTCCCACCTCGAACTGACGATCCAGCTCGTAGGCGTCAAAGCCACAGCGCTTCCAGGCGCCCAAGAAATTGCGGCAGGAGGCTTCGGGGTTCAGTGCCGGGTTGCCCTTCGGCATTCCTTTGGTCCCGAAGGGTGCTTCCTGGCATATGCGTGCCAGACGCCGTTGAACGCGCCCCCCAAGTCCTTCTCGAGTCGCGCGTTCTTGGCTGCTGGGCGCTCGCCGACCCTGTCAAGGTCAACGTTTCTCATCAGCTCCTTGTACATGCGGCCTCCGTCCACGGGGTCAACGAGATCGTCGAAGGCGCGGCTGGCGGCCCCGCTGTGTCCCCTGTCCCCAGGGGTGCCATATCGCGCGGGAGTTGTCGGCGCTCTGCCTCCCCCAGGGGTGCCGTCTGCGTCCGCTTGACCTCCAGGATCTGGTCTGCGGTGCGAGCCGCTGCTCTCCCTGGCCTCAGCATAGCCGTGTCTGGGCCTGTGGGGGGCACCCTCACCCGGCGCCCCGCTAGAGGGCTCGATCCTGCTCCCGCCCGCCGCAGCTTGCCCGAAGACGCCCATGGGGTCATCGAAAGGGCTGTCGTCGCCCGCTTCGCCAGATGCGTCGAGCGAAGGTGGGGAGGAACTGCCTTCCTGCTCGGCTGCACCTGTTGCGTCTTCGGCAGGCGGCGGCGAAGCCACTGGTCGGGCATCGTCGCCGAAATCGACCTCATCGCTGTCGGCCTTAACGGTTGGCGATGGGTTCGTTGGAGTCCGCTGTCTCTTTGACGGGAAGGGGTGGGTGGGGATATTTTTTAAGTCAGCGGCCGCAGGCGAGAGCGCCATCGGCGAGTCGAGTCAGAGCGGGCCGCGCAAAGACGAACTAACCTAAAGCGGTGGGCCGAAGCCTCACGCGGCACCTCGGCGGCAAGGCCGGCGAGTGGAAGGGGGCTGACGGCAACTGGTGGGAAGCATGGGTGGGGACACTTTTTAGTCAGCGGCCGCGGGCGAGCGCGCCGGCGGCGAGTCAGGTCAAAGCGGGCTACGCAGCGACGAATTAAACGAAGGCAGCGGGGGCAGGCCACGCCTAACGCGACTACCCGAGGCCTCACGCGGCAACCCAGCGGCGGACCGGCGGGTGGCAAGGGCGACTGAGACTGAGCCGAACTGCCAGCGTGCAGGTGTGCATGGCGTCGGAAGCACCAGGAGATCGGGACAAACGACGACCCGGGTCGGAAGCCGAGGAATTAACGCAGGGGCCCGAACCCCGGACAACTGCGTGAGCACCAGGGTGGCCGCAGCCAAAGGACCGCCGGCCGAGGTGGAATTGATAATTGCAAGGGCGAAGCCCCGGACGTCTGCGTGAGCGACAGCACCAGGGTGGCCCGAAGGACCGTCGGTCAAAGAATTAACGCCAGGAGGCGGAAGCGTTGGCAGGCTGCAATGGGTGGGGATACGCGAAGTGTCAAGAATCCTGGTCAGAACGCACCCAGGATGAGGTCCGGGGAGTAGCAGTATTGGTACCTTTTGGCTACCCCAAGATGGACGACAGGGAGGAGATTGCAGATCGTCGAGGAGGCTGACGGAGAGGCACGACGAGGGAGATGTCGAAGGATGAGGATAATGAGGGGGATGGTCGGGAAGCAGGCGTGGGATGAGGGACGAGGGGAGGAAGGGACTGATGAAGGAAGGGGTCCGGTGGAGGGTGAAGAGCGGGGAAGGCTGACGAGGAATGAGGAGGGAGGAGGTGGGGAGGAGGACAAATGGGGAAGGATGATAATGGGGTGAGGATTCTGCTGCCTAGGGAGGGAGATGAACGGGAGGATGAAGGACGAGGATGGAGGAGGTCGTAATGATGTGGAATAGGGGCTCTAGGGCGCCGATGTCAAAACATCTTCCATCAGCGATGCCAGAAAGCTGGCGCCTGAGCGGCCCCAGGAGGCGGCGCGGGAAGGAAGGACGACGCGGAGGGCGTGGACATAGAGGAAAGGGCGGGAAGCACGAGGGACGAGAGTGCGAGGGTGATGTGGGTGAGAAAGCAGGGAGGAAATCAGATACAGAAAAACTGTATCAACATACGCGTTCTGAGATTCTCGCGGATTTCTGAGATCGGTGCTGGATTCCCCTCCCAACGCCGATCCAAGAAGTCCGCGCAGAACGAGGACAAGCTATGCTCATGCCGTTGTTCTTCTTCGAAGAGCAAAACAACAACGGAAGGCGGGCCTGCTGCGCCGGTAGGTCGGCACCGCGCGCACCGTGGACGCGGCCGGCTGCTGCGCCTCCTCGTCCCAGGAGGCGACCCGGTCCCCCACGGCGACGTCCTGAGCGAGGCGCGAGGAGCACGGAGGGAGGAGATGAGCATCGTTTAACCGATCCCTGTCCCCACTGGCATGGCCTTGGCCCCACCGGCCGACTTACCATCCCAGGTGAGGATGTATGCTGCTCCCTCCGGGATTCGCGGGGCCTGCCCCCACCCAGGCGGGTGACCTGGCGGGGCTGAGATACCATGGCCCAACATGGATGGGGGATCGGTTAGACGATGCCGAGGGAGGGGGGAAAGGGAGGCGGGAGGGAAGGAGGGCTGATGGAGGAAAAGAGAAGACAGCGCTCTTGTGGGGCCTGGTTCGTCCACTTTTTAGAAGGCCCATCGACTGTCCCTAAGTTAGGATCCAAAACGCCTGGGATGCTGACCCCAAGGCTAGACGGGTGGATGGAGGAGGCGGGAGGAGGAGAGGGCGATGGAGAGTCACTACATCAGAGCACGGGGTCACTGCATCTGTGCACGACTGTTCAGTACGTACGGTCGTATCTCCGAGCGTCGCCCATTTCTTCTGCGGCGCTGGCTCGCCGCAAATCTGGCGCTCCAAACTGCCACGCCTCCCTCTGGAATCATCGCGTCAATGGTACGAATTTGGACGCCGAAACGTGTATTGAAAAAATGGGGACGACGCGGAACAACAAATGTTGTCCAAAACTGAGAGCGGCCGCCATTGGGCAGGCGGACAGCGAGCCCTGTTCAAGATGAGCAGAAACTGCTGCTGGGCGTCCTAACCAATCTTTCCGTACTAAATTCGTTTACGCCGAAGGAAGATGTGATGGGCTGCGGAAATCTCGAGCCGGAGGTGCGGATTCCGCAATGACCGCAACGAGGAAAAGATCTGCGTGTGGTCGCTACATCTGACCTGTTCCTGTTAGCTGGACGCACCCGTTGTTGGACATAGATGGTTTTCCGCCATGCGTGACGTACGATAACGTTTCTCTTTTGGGCGACGCCCGGTCGCCGCTCCACTGGCACTCCAGGAAGCCACGCCTCCCCGTGCGAAGCGCCTATTCGCATCACGAGCCAAGTGAAAAGACACTGCGAATCAGATCCGCAACCCCAATCGAGAAAGGTGACTGCCGATGCTGCACTATGCAGCGCTGTACCGCCCTTGCCGAAGCAGCGACCCAATAGCACTGCCTCAGCACGTCCCCAGCTGAGACGTCAACTGCACGCGACGTAAGCCATCGTCAAACTCAGGCTGTGCGACGTGCCCTTTTTGAACCTGCAGTGTCAAGCACCCAGTCCGCCCAGAAGGGCAGCCAACTCACCGTCATTGCAACCAACGCGCCCCAGGAGCGGCCGAGAGCCTTGCACTCGAGTGTGGCAGGCCTTCTCCCCTCCGCCCGCTCCTGCATTAGCAAGTCCACGGGGCTTCACTTCCACGGGTCCCTCTCCCTGAGCTTGGCAGCCAAGCCTGAACTTCTGGCCACCCTCTCCCTCGTCCTCCTGACCAAATTCGCACCGTCTGCCCTCAGGGCGGCATACACGTTCACAAATCTGAGCCATGCGGCCAAACGAAGGCTCGCCAGGTCCGCAGAATCCGACATGGCAAAGAGTAAAAACATCATCGAAAATGGTTCAAACAGCAGAAGCATCGTCCCCAGACTATTTTTGGACTATTCTTGACTATCCCTCCTGTAGAGCGACATGCCCGACTTAACGTTCAGTCGGGCCTGTCCCCCTACAGGAGGATTTTGGACGAAAAATAACAAATAGCCAACAAATACCCCAAACATACTCAAAAAATTGGAAAAAATAGTCCCTAGACTATTTCTTGACAATTTTTGAATGTTCCCCCTGTAGAGGGACTCGCCCGACTTAAACTTGAGGCCAGGTCCGCCGAATCCGTCACGCGCAGCTCCATCGCAGCCATCGTGACCACGAGGGGCCGTGGAACCCTGCGCGCCTCCGCCTGCGGGGGTCTGCTACCGCCAGGGCCCGCGCCTCGATCGCGCGCTTGGCGACCTCCTTCTTGGACAACTTCGCCCGCTCCTCGACGCCGCCCACAGGATCTACGAAACTCGAGGGAAACAGGCAAGCTCGGAGGATACGACGGAGCACGCTCCGACGGGCGAAACCGGCCCGCATAGCTGAAGATGCCAGCCACGTCTTCCGGCCAAGCGCGGACCGGAAGTATTCGCAACCACCTCGAGATTCGGGGGAAAGCCAACTGAGACAACGGGGGCTCTCCCGCCCAGCCCCTGGAACCCTCCTGGGGTCCATCCTGATCAGTTCTTTCGACGCGGATCCACCCGTGGCGACGAGCAGCCTCCAGGAGGCCCGAGAATGGACGAAAAACGCCAGGGAAGGCCGCTGGTGTCTCGACTGGCCCCCCCTCGACATTTTCGGCTATTTGCCAGAGCGACTCTGGGCAAGAGTGACCTTTGGTGCGCGGCTTTCGGGCGCCGCGGGGGGCCGAATCCACGCGCGCAAGCCTGTGCCGGGGGGACCCCTGTGAGCCCGCACCCAGAAGTCACGCCGGCGGAGTCGAGCGAGAGCGCAGCCGACTCGACGAGCGAGTGGAAAACCCCAGCCCCCCCCCTCCCCCCCTCCGATTCCCCCGTCCCCCTCCCCCCCTCCAATGCCCCATGAGAGAAGTCGAGGTCGAAGGGCGCCGGCTCCAGCGTGCCGGGCTGGGCTGCCCGTGGGCCCTGCCGCCCCAGCGCCGGCACCTCGCGAGGCGCAGCAGCCGTTTCTGCCGGCGCCTCTGCCCTCCAGCGGCTGGGCGACGTCACCACGGCGAGAGCCAGAGCGCAGCGTAGGACGAAGCCAGGACAGGGGCAACATCGGACAGCGATAATCGGGGATCTCTGAGGTGCGGCGGTTCTGGAAGGCGCATCGGGCACCGCGGCCTGCCCAGAGCGGTCGGACACCTTCTGAGACCGTTCCAGCACGTTCTGGAACGGTTCTATCCCTGTCCTGGCCCGCCCGAGCATGGGCTGCAAACAGCCCGCCTTCCGGCGCAGCGAGTGAATGGCTGCGCTGACGGCGAGACCTCTCCCCCGGCATCACCACCCCGCCCCGCCCCTGGCCCGTCCCAATCGATTCTGCAGATGGCCGCGGCGGAGGGTATCGCCAGCTCGCTCGCCCCATGGGGTGCTCTGCCTCATCTTCTGCCTGCCCCGCCCCTCGCCCCTCGCGGCCAGGGCACGACCCCTCCGGCGCGCACGCTCGGCTGGCCGCTCTGCCGCCCTCCTGAGCTCCGCGCGCAGGACCGGGGGTCCACATGCGCACGCTGGCAGCTCCGAGGCCCCTTCCTTCGGGTGCATCGCGAGCAGACGGGAGGATAAGGACCGGGAGGAAGATGAGGGATGTGGGAGACTGAGGGTAAGTGGTCAGGGAGGAGGATGAGCAAGTTGAAGACGAGGAAATCCTGGAGCTGCCGCCGTGTCCCGTCGGCCATCGTCACCGCGGTACCGCCCATGAAGCATCCCGCCTTGTTGTGGACGCGGACTCCGTGGACGTAGAACCAGTGGTGAGGGTGCAAGCACAAGGTCGTGACCTAAGAGGGGATTCGTGGGGGTCTTTTCTGCGATGTCTGGAGATCTTCGAAGGCATCTGGAAGTTTCCGAACCAACATAGCGTCAAGTGTCCAGTCAATTAGGCAGGTCCTGGCTACGCCAGGAAAGCGAAGACGTTGATCCCGAGCCCAACATTGGGCTGGCCAGGACTGGTGGATAATTAGTTGGCATTCCCCGAACCTTCGCGACCGCCAAGCTCCCGCAAACAAAATCTTGGGCCACATCTCAATGGATTCCGGGTCCCCGAGAGGGAAATCATGTTAACCAAGGTCTGGGCACAAAAAGGGTACCTTGAGATACGACGCCGCGAAACACATGCAACATCGTACTGCAAAATATGCAGCATATGCGGCCCATGATGTACCCTCTGGCGGCTCCCTCGTGGGATGCCCAAATGCTGTGCCTGCTGCATGGCGGTGGCCACGCGACCCCGAGAAAGGACACGTCTGGCTCCCCAGACAAGCGGGCAAATCAATACACCGCCACAGTCCGAGCGCGAACGGGCCCGTGAGATCCTGGCGGCTCCCCCCTCGGGGTGCCCAAATGCAATGCCTGCTGCATCGCGATGGTCACGCGGACCTGAAACGAGATGAAACGAGACACGTCTGCCTCCAAAAACCAAGCGGACCGCTCGAGGCATCCCTACAACGTGGGCCGGAACAGGCCCGTGACATACCCACTGGTGACCAAGTGCACTGCCCGTTACGTATGGCGATGTTCACGCGACTCTGAGAAGAGACACGCCTGGCTCCCCCAAACACGCGAGTCGCTCGAGACATTCACAACATCTGGGCAAGAACGGGTCTGTTGTACAGCCTGGCGGCTCACCCCCCACGTGCCGGGCCTGCGACATCGCGATGACCACGCGGACATCTCCACAATCTGGGCGAGAACAGGCCCGTGATACACCCCTCGCCATCGCTCGGACGTCCATTCCCTGTGCTTGTTTTCGGTTTCGTGCGCGGTTTTTTCGCGGGATGATCCAGGATACTCCTTCATAATCACCGCCGAGAAAAAAGCACACGTCCGAGCGATACCAAGACCCATGGCGGCTTCCCCCTCGGAGTGCTCAAGTGCCAGCTACACCACGCTGGTCACACAGACATTTTGTGCCTCAGTTCGCTTCGGGAGCGCCCCTCCGTCGCTCGAGCTCTGCTCGAGTCAGGCAGCCGCAGACCAAAGAAGTGCTTGGACTCCGGGGAGGAGGAGCAGGAGCAGGAGCAGGAGCAGGGAGGAGGAGCAGGGAGGAGGAGGAGGAGGAGGAGGAGGAAGAGGAGGAGGAGGAGGAGGATGAGATGCGTCTATCTCCGACAGGAAAACGAACAACTCGAGACGTTCTCAAAATCTGGGCGGTGCGGAGCCCAAACGGGATGCCTGCTGCATCGCGACCCCTGGCGGCTTCGCCCTTGGGGGACTCCCAAGTGCTAACCGCGTTACATCGCGATGATCACACTGTCCTGAAAAAGACACGCCTGATTCTTCAAAACAAGCGACTCGCTCGAATCATTCCCACAAGCTGGGCGCGAACGGGCCTATAATATTTCCCCTGGCGGCTTCCCCTTGGGTGCCCGAGTGCTATTCATTCTACGTCGCGGTGAGCAAACGAACCTGAAAAGAGACACGCCTACCACATCAATCAAGCGAATCGCTCGAGACAGCCACACAATCTGGGCGCGAACGGGCCCGTGATCTACACCCTCGCGGCTCCCCCGCTGCATCGCGGAGATCATGGGCAAGCGAGTCTGAGTGTGACTGGTGAAACTGACTTGGGGTGAATCTGCATACGACGAAGGCGCGTATGAACGGCTTTGAATGGGAATGAACCAGAGTGTGCGCGAGTCTTTTTTTGAGTGTGAATAAGTCTGAGTGTGTATGTGTGTGTGTGTGTGTGTGTGTGTCTGCAACTTGTAAGTGTGCGAACATGGGTGTGAATGGTGCGTCCGAGCGGGAGTGAAGTTGACCATAACGCAGCTGAGAATGAGTGGATCTGCGTGTGAGTGAGTCTAAGAGCACGAGTCTGAGTACGCATGAATCTGGGCGTTGAGTGTCCGAGTCTGAGTGTGTCTGAATGTAAGCGAATCTGGAGGAAGCGGGAGGTGGGAGGAAGACGAGGCATCACACTAAGAACAAGAAACCCATACGAAGGATATGGGAAACAAATGAACCCTCGATCCCATCTTTCTGAAACATCTCTCAGGCCAAATCAACCCGTGAGGGCCCATGGCACGAAACTGGGGCCCAGAGACGCCCAGAGGACGCCCGAGTCCGATGGTCTGGGCAGTCGTAGATGTCGCGTTTCGGCGTCTCCGGGCTTGCTGAGAGGGGGCCCTCTCGCCCATGCCAACCACTGTCGAGCGAAGCACATAGCACAGTACACCTAGAAGCGAGCGAACGGAGCGACGCTAACTCTGGCCATCGACAAAATTGCCGTCGCTCGGACGTCCATTCCCCGTGCATGTCTCGGCATTTTTTTGCTGGATGATGCAGGATGCTCCTCGATGGTCCTCACCGAAAACAAGTGCACACGTCCGAGCGATGCTAAGCTGATTGCGCAGCGGAGGCGAAGCGGGAGGAAGACGGGGGAGGGCGGGCTGGCGGCCTCGGAAGGGGGATGGGCAGAGGCCAGACTCAGAGGGTGCTCAGACGAAACAAAGCTGCTTCAACATGGACTTTCGGCTACTCGCAAGAGTGACCCTAGGCAAGAAAGACCCCTCCGGTGGGCGAAGCCAAGGGGCGCAAAATGGCCACATCCAAGCGCGCAAGCAACCGCTATCGCACCTCGCTCAGCGATTGGAGGGGTCCCGATGATTCCGCACCAAAGGTCACTCGGGCGAAGTGTCACTCTTACGTGTAGTCGAGGCCTTCGAAAGTCCGCGTGGACCTACGAAAGTTCACGTTCATGCCGTCTGTCCTCGAGTCAAACTTTTCGACTGCGGCGCGGTGGCCCCCACAGACCCAAACATCCGATGTCTTGCTTTCTTCATCAGGGGGTCCACAAAGTCCCAGCCCTTTCTTTCCCTGGGGCCAATGTTTCGGCGAAGCCCCTGGAGGCCGAAAACGGGCAAAAATCTCCCGCCGTGTTTTTTTCATGACGCGAGTGTACAGTCGGGCTCGATTGGACAGGACACGCGAGAGGACACAAGACCCTTCCGAGGGCCACATTGCCACAGGAATGTAGGAAGCATGTCGCGAGACACAGGACACAAGGGTAACCTTGACTTGGCAAGGTCGACCTGCAAATCTGGGCCGACTGTATGGGGACGCAATCCGTGGCCAGACCTCGGGGGGACTCTGGGCCCGAGCGGGAATGTCGGTGGTGGTCGATCTGGCGGCCGTGCACCCCTGAGGCACGCAGGAAGGGACGCGTCAGAATGCCAGGTGCTCTCCTGTACAGTCGAGACCGCACAACAGGGATGCGCTGTAAGGACGCAGGGGCCTTGGAGGGCCATGCTGGCGTTTTCGAGCGGTTGCTGGCCAGCGAGTCGCCCAGGATGGGCCGAAGGAGCAGGGTTGCCAAGGGTTAGCCCTGGAGGGTTGCTCATCCATGCTGTGCGACTTGGCCGTAGGGTTCGGAGAGCCTCCGAGGCTCGCCCCCCCCCCCCCCCCCCGTCTACAGGGCGCATTCTGGCCACGTGTCCCCGCCTCCCCCTTCCGAGGCTGGTCGGGCAGCCCAGCGCCGCGGTGGCGGCCCCCCCCCGATAGCCCTCGGGCTGCCCACGATGGATTCCAAGAAGGGACCATGAGGCGCCCAAGATGCTCGACATCGACCTCAAGAGGTCCCACGATGCCTCATTTACATCCGAGTCAGGGGACGACACACACACACACACATACTGCTGTTTTGCATGTTTCGTGTTTCCTGCATTTTTCCTCTTACTGTACTATGATACAGGAGAAAAGCCCCAATCATAATCTTTTTAGGGCCATAGGGCTATGGGGCTATAGGCTATAGGGCCATGGGGCTATAGGGCTGTACGGCTATAGGGCTATAGGGCCATGGGGCTATGGGGCTTTGGGGTTATGGGGCTGTAGGGCTATAGGTCCATAGGGCTATGGGGCTATAGGGCTATATGATCATAGGGCTATAGGGCTATAGGGCTACAGGGCTATAGGGCTATAGAGCTATAGGGCTATAGGGCTATAGGGCTATAGGGCTAGAAGGCTATAGGGCTATGTTGCGATTGGGCTATAGGGCTATAGGGCTGGGGCTATAGGGGTACACAGCTATAATGCCATAGGGCTATAGGGCTATAGGTAACGGAAAGAGCGAGGTACGAGTGATGACGTTCTGGTGTGGGCGAAGCCCTAAAGGGAGGGGTTCCAGGGGAGGGGCGTGGGGGGAACATTTGCGTCTTAATGGCCGTTTTGGAAGTTTTCCCTGGGTTTTTTGCATGTTTTTCGGATTCTCCCTTATCACGGCCCAAGAGCGCTCCAAGAGAGCCCAAGACCGCCCATGACGGCCCAAGAGGTCCCCAAAAGGCCCCCAAGAGGCGCCCAAGGGGCGTCCCAAGAGGGCCCCAAGAGGCCAACATCACATATTTTCCGAAGGAAAACGTATATTTTTAGCATATGCGCTTTGTCGGCTTTCACGGCGTTGACGACGGCCCAAGAGGCCCCCAAGACCGCCCCAAGACGGCCCAAGAGGCGCTCAAGCCGGCCCAAGAGGGCGCCAAGACGGCCCCAAGAGGGGGACCACGAACCGAAAAGTCTAGCCTTTCGCCCAAGACGCTCCCAGGAGGCCCCCAGAGCCCCCCAAGAAGCCCCAAGAGGCCCCCAAGAGGCGTCCCAAGAGGCCACCGGGAGGCGAACATCATTTATTTCCTATGGACAAATGTACATTTTTAGCATACAAGGCTTTTCGGCTTTCGCTGCGTTGAAGACGCTCCACGAGGCCCCCAAGACCGCCCCAAGACGGCCCAAGAGGCTCCCAAGAGGCCCCCAAAACGGCCCAAGAGGGCGCCAAGACGGCCCACGAGGCGCCCAAGACGGCCCAAGAGGGCCCCAAGAGGGGGACCACGAACCGAAAAGTCTAGCCTTTCGCCCCAAGAAGCTCCCAGCAGGCCCCCAGAGCCTCCCAAGAAGCCCCAAGAGGCCGCCAAGAGGTTCCCAAGAGGCCTCCAAAAGGGCCCGACAAGGGCCCCAATAGGACTCCCAAGAAGGCCCAGAGACGCCAAATAGAGAGCGATCGGTCACGCAAAAAGCTCTTCACACCAAGGCTCCCGAGAGCGAACGGTGACGTAAACAAGCTGATAAGACCAA